AAAGGCACAAAACACGCCAGACATACTGAAAACAGCTTTGGAAATGTAGATTATGGGTCACTCACTACACCATGTTAGAATTGGTTCCATAAAATTTTGGTAGTACTATAGAAGAAATTCAGGGAAGGGTATAATCATGATTCATGATAAAATACTATTCAATATTTTGGACAACTTCAATATAGACCAGGGATGTCAAAATCGCGGCCCCAGAGAACTTCCAATGCGGCCCTCGAACGCTAAACAATAATTGTAATAGTTTTTTAAAAGTTTTTTTTATCCAAATGTAAAAGATTTTTTCAATTTTTTGAAGTGAAATTGATTATTCACGCAAAAAAAAAATTTTACTGAAAGTAGTTTTGGAAAATTATTATTTTTTTGTTCACATTTTGACCCAATTAAGAATATACACATCAAGCTAGCAAAAGAATACTTGAATAAAACATTTGAGTGGATAAATTAAATGCAAAGTACATGAAGAAGGTGGCATTTTCGAAGAAAAATGGGAGTTACAATATTTCTGCATTTCTCAAAATTCTGAAGCACATTGTTTTTGTTTTGTCATATTTCCATCAGTACAATGAAATAACACAATAAACTCAGCAGTCAATATGACAAATTCAAAGACCAACTTCGAACAGAAAATTTCCATGTGTTTGTATATTAATATAATTATACAACGACTTAGTTTACTAAAAATCAATATCACCAATAATTCAAGCAATTCAATGCCACGCAATGTGGCGCAAAATTTCTTGTCAAAAAAATCTGTCATTTGTTTGTTTACTGATCTATACGCTTACTTGCATTACTGGAATTAATTAAACATTCTCGCAGATCCATATTAACCCATGATCATGTGACCTCGTTAGTTACTATAAGAGTTGGTACTATAAAATCATTTTAGCCTGGCCTTAGTATGCTGGTGACACAAAAAAGTTGTCAAACGTCAGGACAAATGTAATTGAGTAAACATTGAGTTTATACTACAGTATTTTTGTTAATTTTAGGTCCATATATTTAGATTAAGTCATTCTTAGTGTATGTATCATTCTTTTCTTATCCAAAGCTTGTTCAAAAATGATTTTGATGGTTGTTCATAGAATTTTATGATTTTTTTGTAATAAATACAATAACTTGCAATAATAGTGGAATGCAAATATTAATATGTAATTGCATTTGAAATTAGAGAAAATAATAGAACTTAATCCAACTGTTTAATTGCATCACAATATATGTCACAAACTAAAACTATCTTAAAAATATCTTTTAAGTATACATTATCAAAAACTGTTTGCGGCCCTTTTTACAATTTCCAAAATGCGATGCGGCATATTGTATGACTTGTATTTGCTGTCGCGACGTATTATCTCAATGTGTCAAACTTTTAATTAGTGTGCATATTTTGCTTCCAGGTGACATGAATGTATTGTCTTGTTTATTACCTCAGCTTGGAGTATTGACAAGAAAAAGGTGCCAGTAAATTACGTAAAATTTTTTTTAACTTTTTGTTATAATCAGAATTCACAATTAATAGGAAATATAAACAGCCAACAATCAATGAGAACTATATGCAAAATTCCTCAGATTAAATTTGTCTTCTAAAATCGGAGGAAGGCAAAAGATATAGGTTGTTTCCATTCATACAAGTCTTTCAAGAAGACTTGCTCGAGCCAAACTAAATGAGCATCATCAGGTGATCGGTAAGGCTGCAAGTTGAATTCAGCCCTGCAACCTCCTGCATAGACGATAATATTAATTAGTGGGCTATGAGCTAAATTTAGACACAAACATATCTACGAGGCATTATGTACCATCAATGTTAACTACGATAAAATGAATATGTAATATGTCTAATAAACTCACCTACTAAAGCAAATTCGATGGGTGCAAACTTTGTGTTATGGAATTGTATCACAGCACCGTTAAGAGAAGTATAAACAGTCTTGCTGTTTTGTAAGAAACCATCTTTAAATAAAATTTCAATGTTTAAGTACAAACATTAAAACTAGTAACTTTGAATTTTGTCATTATCTGCAAAATGTTCAACACAAATCATTACACTATCTTGTTTGTAATCTTCTCTGATAATATAAAAACGTCTATGATGTCCAGAATTACTCTGCTTAGCTTGTCTGCCATTCCAGCTTTCCAAGTGAGCAAAACTTCTTAGATTTAATGAATATTTTCTTTCGTCACAGGCGCAAAAAGGCAGATGCTACACGTAAAGAAGGCGCCGAGTAGCAAAAGCGAACGGGAAACGGTCTCGAAAGGCGACGATAACTATGTGCATTGAAGCGTATCATGAAATACAATCTTTCGCGTGTAGTCTTATGGAGTGACGTCAGAGTTGCCTATCATGTTGTTTAATGTCATTGGTTGGACTAATCACTAAATGTACAGTTATGCGAGAAATAAATTAAACTTTGATATCCACCACGGCGCAAAAATTAGTAATACGCGTTTGACGCAAGAATAAAAATCGCGCTGTTAACATTTTTTTCGAACTCGTAGAAATTTCTTGCTGCATGGGGGCATCAACCTTGAGTGCCTTGGCCTAGCGTCCGATTGTAAATGGGAAAAAATACTTAAACACATTTGATTCGATCACTCCAAGTAATTTTTATTCAGCACATTCGTTTCAATATCTTAGTTGCTAAATGTTTTAGACGCAAGTCAATGACATACCAATGAGAAACAATTCTTTAATTGAATATAACTCTTAAAAGACTATAAATATAATGATCGTATTTTTGCTGCTCCACAAACCCACTCCGAGTCTGAGTTTGTTGAAGGCGAGAAATAACGCGAGATTGCGACACGCGACATTAGTTGAGCATACTTTAGAACAGGCCTGCAGCGACTCACGTGTTCCTTACGGGCCCGTGTGCATCGTGTCGGAGAGACCCATCCAGAGGATCTCTGTTGTTGTATATCAGTAGCCTTCAATCTTTTTGTCGGAGCGGAACCCCAATGGAAAGGCTCGAGGGACCCCTTTACAATAGTTTAATTGACTGAATTGTATAAACTATGAATATATAAAAAAGTAAACCTAACACCTTCAAAACAAAATGATTCTCAAAGTAGAGCAGGTTAAATAAAAGGTGGCGGGCCTAATAGGCATTTTATCATTTTTAAACAATATATGTATATTAAATATACTTTCGGATTTGAATAGAAACACTGGACTTTACTACCGGAACCCGATTGAAAACCACTTTTCGTTATGTATCGCCTGTTGAATTATGCAATTCCCCTTTTTAACATATCACGGCGTTTTTTAAGAAAATTCAAACTTGCAGTTGATTCGAATAAATTCGATTCGAAATTGTAAAACTCACATATCGAGATAAATTTCATACTTTTTCATTTATTTTATAATTAAATGCTTTTTCACTTTGTTTCGGAGAATGACTAATTATAACCAAATTTCGCTTATCACGAGTGACTCGTATGCTCATGCTGACTTGTATAAAATGTTTCAGAGTATTGCACTTTCGGTATAACTTCATCATTGCGTTTTGATCTAACAGGCATTCGATTTCAAGCGCTAGTTATATTATGTTGTTGAAATTTTTTCTCTATACGCTGGTAATTTTTTTTAATTGCAATGAACTCTCATGAAAGTTTTCGGAGTGCGATGTACTCCACATGGGCTTATCACTACTAGACTTTTATCTTACTTGGACTCGGAGATTGGCAGGCGGATTTTAGTCAGGTTCATTAGAGAACAAAATTTAATGTTAATTCTTTGCTCAGTTGTCATTCTTTAATTGAACCCCCTATCGCCAAAAAACTCAATCAGACCTCGCACAGCATTTTTTTTTCAACAAGAAATTTATCACATTCACTTATGGATCCTGAAAAGCAAAAATAATTGCGATATTGTGTCAAAACAGCTGTTAAACAAAGAACACATATTACGCCACACTGCAAAAGTGTTGATTACCAATGGTTAATCGTGTTGCGCAATCTGTGACGTCAGTCCCGTTTCTTTTTAGCCTTACCTCGTATGTCCTCTCAACTCTACAATAAACCTGCTATAAAATGTCATGGAGCAAAATTATCTGAGGACAATTTTTTGTCTTTTTTTTATACTTATATTGTCCCAACCAATCTGGCAGTTTATTTACGGTGTGAATGTAATGGTCAGGGGCCTCGATAATCTTTGACGGTCCTGCATTCGCACCTAATCAAAATAGTTTTGAAAATTGGGTACATTTTTTCTACCAAAATTTTTAATATTGTGTTTAGTATTGTTCATGAAATTGAATCTTTATCTATCTCTAAGGCTGAACGCGGAAAGCCCTGCGTCCGTTTGTATGTTGAGGTGTATGAAAAATAATCGTGTGAACGGTTTATTGGACATTGCCCGTTTTATCGTCATGGGGGTTCGCGTTAACTTTCATCGCCCGTGGCACACCCGGTTGTAAGTCTTATCCGGTTCAACAACCCCGCATAATGAATAGCAAGAAGTTCTATCTTACACTGACCTGTGCTTATGTGCCCCAGCGTTCCTGACTCTTAGTAGGCTTGTAGAAAATAAATGATCCAATGCATAGTAATTCAAGACCGCGATCCTTTGCCATTCGAATATTCCACAGAAAGAGCGCAACACCACATCCATATCCAATACTTTATACTGAACTGTCTTCCACATAGAAAATGCTTGATCTTTGCCTCGAAGCAGGTCAATGCTGGCATGCTCGCATAGATTAGCAAATACTTCGGGGAGAAATTATTATATCATAATGATTAATCCCATAACATTTTATTTATGACGTCATAAATATGCACAATTTTTGATTGAAAGCAAAGTTGCCAGATGTAATTCAAAACAGACAAGCAATGACTTTTTATCCGAATTGTTACGTAATATCAGGGTGCGTCATTTCTTCACTCATTGTTTTTTTACTTCTTTGATTTAAAACAACTTTCCAAACAACCATGCCTATTAGATGAGTATCAGTTGAAATCAGCGTTTTCATTGTCAGTTTAAAGCCTCTCGGCTTGGCAACTTACACGAACAGTGGAGGTGAAAGGTCAGAGTTACACTGTTGCAAATGTTAAGATTTTGCACAACTGCACTATGCTGCATTAGAAACTGAGTAATGAATGCAATTATATTGTAATTCAACCAATATGTTGGGCGAATGCGGTTCAGTGGAAATATCCTTTATCAGTCTATGCAACTGAATATAAGTTAATGCGGTGTATCAGCAGAGTACGGTCCGGGTACCGGTCACTGTGATTGTTAATTTCTCTGTGGTTGTGTGTGGGGGTGTCGGTGGGTACCGGTACGTGTGTAAAATAATTTTAGGTGAGTGAACACGTAACACTTCTTGGCAAAATCTTTCATCTTATATTCTATACGTTTTAAACCTTATCTAATGTTATGTTTGCTCTTCTGATTTCATAATCAGTTTTATTTATTTATTTTTATCAATCCTTTTATTGTTATTCTGATTATAGGCAAAATAAACTTATACTTATATAGCCTACGATGTTCATTCATAAAATCGAAATAAACTTATAATAGTCGAGCCAAATTTAAATTTTGTTGACTTCCAATGACAGAATGAACTTACAGACTTCTGGACTTACTGATCTCTTTACTATTACGGTACTATATTCAGATATTAGCAAAGAAACTTTTTGTCAATCCAATATTTTGTTTTTGAGAAGTAGTTATGGGAATCCCCACTTAATGCAGCACAGCTCACCTTTTGCAAAACAGATCTGTCCTATTTAGCTATGAAACTGAAGATTTCGAGAAAATGCCATTTCACTTTCACTGGCCGCAATAATTATATTGTATGTTTAGAAGTCTTGTATTGTAATTGACCTGCATTAAAACGTGATATATATTATCTGAGGTGGGAACTATGATATACACATGATATAGCATGGGTAGACTATTCCAATCTATCACTATCTTATACTCATATACTTCGAATGTTAACAAAATGTATTATTTTTATGCATGCATTAGAATTGTTATATTTAGTTTCTGATCTGAGTAAGGTTGAGCTGACTGATCATGAATGAAGATTACATTAAACAAACAAATTCAACCCAAGCAAGTTTGCTTATGACATCACTCGATAGCTTGAGAGAACAAAACATTCTCCGCGATTTCGATGTGAAAGTTGGTGACAAATCCTTCTGTGCTCATCGCTGTGTCTTGGCAGCCTCGTCAGGATACTTCAAAGCGATGTTTACAAGCAAAATGAAGGAATCTCGTGATGGGTTTATCGATATGAAGGATGTCGATCAGAATGGAATTTCCCAATGTATAGAATTCATGTATAAAGGAGTGGGAAATTTGAAAATGGAATACGTTCAACAAATCCTGCAAGCATCCAACCTGTTACAAATGGTTGGCTTGACAAACTTTTGCTTCCATTACTTGAAAACCAATCTCTCTCAGACCAATTGCCTTTCCGTCATCAATTTGGCTCAAGCGTACGATCGCCTTGATATAAAAGAACAAGCAGAACAGGTGCTGATCACTAATTTCAAATCAGTAATTTCCTCTGAGATGTTCCCGTTCATTATCAAGCCAGATCTCATTCGTTACATAAAAGTTTCAAATGTGGGTTATCAAACATCATGGCAAGCTATGATAACATGGGCAAGAGCAAAAGATGAAGATGCAGAGAGATGTTTTGCCGATCTTGTTACAGTCATCAATATCCAGACTTATCCTTTCAAATTTCTTCTGGAGACTGTGTTGGAAGAACCACTGGTGAAAAGTAATGACATTGCAAAGAATTCAGTCATCACTGCATTATTCTCTGATGTCAAGAATCTTGAGACAAATCTCGAGATTGACAACTGCTTCATCCTGAAGAATATGGCTGAAACTCATCAAGTTACCAACCCAAATGCTGTGAAAAATGTGATGAATCAATTCCTGGAATCAAATTTCGAACAAATCATTGAGAAAAAAGGGTTTTGTGATATCAGCAAGGATGACATCACAAGGATTTACAAAACCCCAAACACAAAATATTCTTCTGAGACTGTTAAATGGCATGGAGCTCTTAGATGGATAAAGCACGATCTTCAAAAAAGGAAAACAGTTTTTCATGAACTGTTCAGCCTTCTTGACCTGAAAAAATTTCCTTTAAAATTTCTGGAAAAAAACATCCGCTCGGAAATTCTAGTCAATGACTCTCGTAAATGCTACGATAGACTTTTTGATGAAATATTATCTCGAGCAAGAAAGAGTTCACAATTTTCTAATCAGTCAGTCCAGCAACCAACATCAACAAGAACTAGAGCAGATAGAGAAACATCCCTGGGCAACACTGCATCAAGTAGTCACAGCTCTAGGAATGTCCAAGAACCAGAGATGGGGGCAGTGGGTGGATACAGGAGTGACACTTCAGGTACAATCTGCATTTGTGTTTCATAACTGAGATTACTGAAGTAAGCACTGAGTCTGATTTCACTATGGATTGTTCATGTCTGGCTTATTGTTTTACATAATTCTGAACAATATTGCGATAATTTTTATTCCATAGAAAATATAAATACTGGTATAATATTTAGCATAATTAGGAATACTTCATTCATTTATTTTTGTTTTAAAAGTAAAGAGGGTAAAACCGAATGACCAATATCCAGTAAATACTATATTTGGATCACTGGGTGATGACGTAGCGGTTGAAGCATTGGGCTTAACTGTTGCCATTGCAGATTACGCCTCCCTGGTTCAAATCCTACGGCTCCACCCAGGGTGTAATAGATTGGGCAGGCAATACCGTTACTTACAGATAATAGTAGATTCTGACAAAATATTCAATATTACTCATATGCAAAAGCATTAGTAAAAATATATTACACGATTTGAGCCTAGCACTGTCGTGGAGGCTTATCGGATTTTGTGAGGGCTTACAAAATGCCCTATCATTTTATATTAAGCGTAATCAGAATCGTGTCTTGTGATCATCTTTTAGTAAAATAATTTTCAATTTACAGAATCTCAGTCTTCAAGTCAAGCTACTTCATCTGGTCTGATAATCATCAACCAACAACCACCTGGTGGAAGCATGTCAGTGGAAAGGTTGAGGGAATCACTGCCAGGATATGAATTATGGGTGATGGGCACTTATGCCATCACTTACTCATTCCCTGCTGGAAGTCTGAATGTGAGCCATGTAATGAATTCATTTGGTTGAATATTTAATTATGTATTCACAAGAACCAAGATTCTTTTTGTATTATTTTACATTGATTCTATGTTTAACATTAAATCTTCCTAATAAAATAATCTTGGCCCCCAAATAGCAATTGAATCTAATTACACTTTTCGTTATTATATTGTTCACTTTAAACAGGCCTCTGCACAAGCAACCGCTAATGCATAATACTATAGTAGCATAATGCTACTATTTTTTGGATGTTATGTAATTTTTTCGTTTCGGAATTGCCTACTCAAGTTATTACATCCTGGATAAGGCAGTGGGCATGGGACTTGAACTTGGGACCTTCGAATCATGATCCAACATAGCTAAGTCCAATGCTATAACCAAAAGACCATCACAACACCTCAGTGTTTAGATGTTCTAGAAATTTTTTTTCCGATGTTTCCAGAAAGCAGTTTTTTATGTTGGTTTAATGACCCCTTGCAGAATTTACCTCTACCAGTGCTGATGTCCAAAATAAATGAATATATTCACAATTATTTATATTACATAGAGCAAATTCTCGATTTGAGGTTTTCATTTCAAAATTTGTCTTGTATGAAAAAAAAATTGTATGACTTTCTTTAAAATCTAACATTGCAAATTGCCAAAATCAATCCAAGCTGTGTTTATATCAGTTATTCTGCATTACTGAATTAAATTTCCACATATGTAATTGTACAGTGATTTTCACAAGATCTTGTTGGACATGGCCCAATTTAAAATATATTTAATATTGGAAAAAAATATTATTATTTAAAAATTTATATGAAATGGTAAATTAGGTATTTCATTTTGGCAATAATCATAATTTATCTTAAGTCTGATAGTTTTGTCCGGCTATAAGATTCCAAACGCCTAAAATGACAAACTTACCATATGATTTTTTCTATGAAACGTTTGTCATGTCTTTTATTCCAAACAAGGCTATGTATAAGCAGCCACTGATACGCAAGGCACTACTATTTATTGTAGAACTTAAATCTTTCCGATCGCATTGTCACCTAATTTATCATACACTCCTCCCTATTTCATTATACACTGGGTTTGAATCCAAGATTTTTAACCTGTGATGCCAACATAGTTTAGCTACTTCTCTTCATATTAATCTTCAAATCCCAGATCCACGACATCACCAACGGTGTAAATAAATTGGCAAGCAATGCAGTGCCTGAAAATATGTTGGTCCTTTCATAAATACCCTCTTACCTATCAGTGGATTTTTTGTGTATCAGTAATATGTTAGTGTCATCATATTTTAACTCTGCTCCCAATCGTAGATATATTATGTTTGATTCTTTTTTTGAAAAGTTAAAACTTTTTTTGATAAATGTTGTGTGAAGGCAACTCTGAACAAGGTGCCACTGATTATATGTTTCCTGAGGATATTTTACTTGTTTGCACATGTGAAACATCTTTGGTTCAAATGTGTGCCCTCCTCCTGACCTAGAAATCAATTGTTTTGATGGTCAATTATTATTCTCAATTAGTGAGAAAGTTTTCAATCGTTCAATTAAGATATTTACGTATCAGTGCCTGCTTGTTTTGTGCCTTGTTCAGAGCGAGTATTCGGAAACATCCCAACTAAAATCACCTAAAAAATGTTTTTGCAACTGTCTGCTTCTAAGGAATCGTTAAATTTATTCGAAACGATTCTGAGTTGCAGAAATTTTAGTTAAAAGCTTTTGGACCTCCAGAAGTATGCGCACAACCTGAACATAGTATGTGTGTACTGGATAGGATTCAGGTTGTGCGACATCTTGGTGCGCATACTTCTGGAGAATCTGGTGTTTATATGTGTTTTAACAAATTATCAGAGATAGAAGTTGAATAACTTATGTTTATTTTTGCAGGGTGTTTCATATGAGGCAAAGAAGTTCACTGAATATGTGCCTGCTAACCCCTACCCTAAGAACTTGCTACGGAAAGCATTCAATACAGGATTGCTCTTCAAGATTAAGATAATCAGAAGCTACAGAGGAGAGATAATATGGAATAATGAGTTTCCTCATATAACTAACAAACTTGGGAGGTCCAGATAAGTAAGTTTTCTGATTAAATATTTTAAAATATGCATAATTGTGATGAGGATTGACTGGGGCCTCAACCAGGGATGGCCAAAACCGAATAGTTCACTATTTCGAATACATTCGAAATTATTTTTTTCGAATATGAAATTTCGAATACTTGAAAATAAAATCCACTAATTGAAGCTTATCTAAATGTATGTAGGAATTTCCATACAATAAGCAATGGAATAACTGCTATCTACAAGTTACTCCCTAGCTATATTACCAGGCATTTCATATTTGCAGATTATTGCAGTATATATTTTATATACCATGAGTCATGTTAACAGAATTAAATTATTACGACAATAGTGGTATCGATGATGGATTTGAATATTTGCGCAACACAAAATCACCCTAGTAAAACGGCCATACTTTTAAATACCAACCATTATCCAAATTATTTGTCGAAAAGCGGGATAAAGTATGAGGTATTTTTCCAACTTGTGACAATTTTTTCGTGAGTACAAAAATACGAATCAAAAATTAATTATATTTGGGAACTTTACCACACATTTTAAGTCCGCAGATCGCCGCTGTATGTTTGAGTAATAATACTTTTATTATTTCATAAATATGAAAATAGGAATCAAAAACTATTTATAATCGGGTAGTTTACCACACATTGTAAGTCCACAGATCGCCGTTGTATTTTGTAAATACGAAAATAGGAATCAACAATTAATATTAATCGCGAGTTTGCCACACAATTTATGTCCACAGATTGCCGTGATATTGTGCCGAATATAATTAGTTTTGATTCTTATTTTCGTACTCACGAAAAATTGTCACAAGTCGGGAAAAGAATTTATATTTTATCCCGCTCTTGGGAACTAATTTGTATAATGGTTGCCATTGGTTTGTATTTAAAAGTATGGACTTTTTACTAGGATGATTTTGTGCTGCGCAAAATATTCGAATCCATGACCGATACCACTACTTAAAATGCCTTACCGTGTTAATTTAATTCTATTATCATAACTCAAATGTTGGTAAATCGGGCAGTTTACCACACATTTGAAGGCCACAGATCGCCGTTGCATTTTAGAATTATTAGTTTTATTATTTTGTAAACACGAATCCGAAATTAGTTATAATTGGACAGTTTACCACGTATTTCATGTCCACAAATACCCGTTGTATTTGGCATTAATACTTTCATTATTTTATCAATATGAAAATAGGAATCAATATTTAATAATATCGGTCAGTTTACTACACATTTTATGTCCACAGATAGTCGATACAACCATGAGTTACGTTGAACAGATTTAAATTAATACGGCATGACATTTTAAATGCTGGTACCAGTCATGGATTGGATTATTTTGCGCAACAAAAAATCATCCTGGAAAGGATGAATACTTTTAACTATCGTTATCAGAATTATTTTATCTATTTTTAGCACTCAAAAAAGGGGTTTTTCCATATAGGCCTCCAATAAGACGGGTAGAAAAATTCGCTAATAATTTTATATGTTTAGAACCAGATCATGTTAGTTTGGTAGAATCATACTCACAGAATTAACTATTTTTAACAATTGAGCGGTAAATTTAAGTTGTAAAGCGGCAATCATTTTGGACAACCTATTAACCCGAATGTTGAAATAATTTTGGAATGTGATAAGTACTACACTGTACGTCCACGGGTTATTTCACAGCTGTGTTTTCCTGTCCCTGTCGTGTTTTGCTGAATCGGCAAAACGAAAGGGTCACAAATCACTTTATCTTGGTGGCCGAGTTTCTCTTTAAAGTAACGATAACCAGCCTGCGATTAAATATCATGATTGGCAGACCCTAAGACCCAAATATAAGGTTACACAAATCATGCTTGAGAAGACTCATGCGAATAACAAGCAGGCCACATAGAAATAAAAGAAACATACTTTCTCAATATTTCGACGTAATGGAAATGAATTTGTAAATTAAAAGCCTCGTACACGGATGTCGGCAATGTCCACCCACGCAAACGTGCAAATGTGTCGCAACACTATGCGACGTACGGTCGCACAGAATATAAACAATCAAAGTGCCGATTTAAAAAGTCGTTTAAAGATTCCCGTAAAACGAAACACCACGTTTACGGCGAAAAGTGCCGAAGTGCCGATTTAAAAAGTTGTTTAAAGATTCCCGTAAAACGAAACACCACGTTTACGGCGAAAAGTGGCTACTATTCGGAATTATTCGAAAATCAGCCGAAAAGGTATTCGAATACCTTGATATTCGAATACATTCGAATATTCGATTCGTTTTGGACAACCCTGGCCTCAACTAAGTTATATCAATGACAGGTGTATTAAAAATTTAGTTCCAACCAAATTTGAGATTTGAAATGTGAATTGCAAAAATTAAAATTGGCGCTGCTCCGTAGTATGTGCAACAAGATGGCGTACACCTGAACATAGTATGTGTACCAGGTTAGGGTCAGGCCATAATTTTATTCCAATTATCCTTGTTTTAGTTCGTTTACGAGTTCGGGGACCAGCCAAGTGACTCCTGTAGTATTTGTATCTGAAATTATGGCCTAACCCCAACCTGATACATATACTGTGTTCCGATGTCCGCCATCTTGGTTCACATACTACGGGAGTACCCTAAAATAAACCAAATCAATATTTATTTTCCAAACTGACCTTCTATGCAAAGTTAGAAAAATGAACTTGCACATAAAAAGTCATGTTTTTTGTCAAACACTGTTTTTCAAACTCTTATTTATAAATCAAAGAAAGGCATGTTTGGGTCGCAGTTTTGATCCCATAACCATCCATTCAGCTCGTGACATTTGTAACCACTCAACCACAGATATCTTGTCCGAGGTAAAATCAAGTACAACGTTCTCAACTTTCCTCTCTTGATTTCAAGCAACATTTAAATTTGTTTATACACATCTATTATACACCGTTAACTTTGAACAAAGCTATATATAAGAAACCATCGCATCTATCAAATTTCAGTTGATGGGCGAGAGATGGCCAGGAAGCATTCTTCCTATTTCTGATAAATATTGACCATGATTTGTCATGCTGTTGCAAAATGTTAGGGTGTATGTGACTGAGGGTAATTTCCTAGTGACAATCAGAATCAACCATTATGGTATTCAGGCTCGAATTGCCTCCCAATGTTTTGGGTAGGGTGATGGCCATTGGATTTGAACCAAAGATGTGCAGTTTGCAATGCCAACCCAATTAAATTTAACGCTTCAACCATTATGCCATCGCGCATCATGAATATATATTTTATTTGGTGGTTTTACAACTTCGGTTTGATCAGTGCTCTGTTCAAGCAGACAATAAGACTTTGGGGCATTACTCGGTTTCAAAAATGATCAATGTTTGGCGAAGCCTTCCCTTGCACCATGGATAAGGTGTTGGGCTCAGTGATTTTGATGTTTCATATTTCAGTACAGTATCAATGAAATCAAATACTTGAAAAAATTACCTGTTTAGACATCTCTACCTACGAGTAAAGTTGACTTGACATTCTTTTTACACATCTAAACCTTACATTCAAATCTCACTCACACAGGTATTGCTAAGTTAAGCGTTTCTTAGTACTAAGGAGTCAAATATTTGTGACTTTCAGTGTTCTTTTATCAAACATCTTATTTTTTACAGTTAATTGAAATCAGACTCATATGCAACTACCATTATCTCTCATGCAATCTAATCTTTTTCAGCAATGGATATCCTGATGATGACCATAGGTGTAAACTTCATGCAGCATTGAAGGCAGCACGAATTGTATACTATCAATAGATGATCAAAAATGGACGTTCAACACTATACGGACAATACTATATTAAAACTTATCCATTGATTTCGTAGCGTAGTGTCATTATCAAGCATTTCATCAAGCCACTTATAAATATTATAAAGTTCGGTGAACTGCAATATCAGTCAGTCTCAAGGCAATTTTCAAGATAAAACAGCAAACTTTGGGGTTACAGTGGTAAAAAATAAGTCCTGTCATTACCGGAACAGACCCTAAATTGCCTGAACGGGGTGGAAAATTCATCTAAACCTACCGGAACTACCTATAGCTATCTTGTAAAAGTTGTGTAGAAATTGAATACTAACAATACAAAATCAACATTGGACGTTGGACTCTACATGGACAATATAATATTAGAATAATATTGATTTTATATTGTCATTATCAAGCATTCCATTATGCCACTTACTGAATATTATAATGTTTGATGAACTGCAATATCAGTCAAATTTGACCCAACCTTTCGTTTTTAAATCAAACTCCATACTGTTAATCAAGGTTAATTAGTCAGAATTTTCAAAACCAACAATTTATATTTTTTTCAATTTTTCATCGTTTTTATCTGTTTCATCCTTTTATTGTTGATCAACTCCATGATAATTATGCATATATGTATATATTTATTGTATTTTATCTACTGTATGAACAAACATTTAAATCAGTTCATCCTTCTACTTCTGGCTAATTCCATCCTAATTACAAGTTTCAGTTGCGTTTTTCAGTATTTTCTCTCGTACTAGTATTTTGTTTTGTTGTTAATCTTTTGAGTAAGGATGAGAAGATTCGGTCGGTCAGAGTTTACAAATCTGTAAGAGAATGAATGTTTTTATCACGCTCCTAGTATTCATTCTTTTATAGGTGAGCAAACATGTGCTCATTTGTGTTTTTTATTTTATTATTATTATTTCGTTTGTGGGGAAGGAAACATGTGCCTTTTCATATTTTAAGTTATCCACAATAATTTCGCTAAATTTATTAGACTCAAACTTTTGCTTATATGTGAATCTATTCGTAGATTGATTTCCAGACTCAGGTATTGTTGTTATGCTGATTTGGGAGTCAAAATATACTTTGTTTGCATATTTGACCTGTTTTTATATATTTTATTCTACCACTGTTATTCAGTTCCATCTCAATTACGTTATCATTCTGGATAAAGATAATTCAAGACTTTGCAAAAGTAAAAATGCATTTTTATATTCATTGAAGAAAATGATGCTTTGAGTCAAGTTTTTGAATAATTCTCACAAGTTTTACTCTAACTAACTCAGTGATTCCCAAACTGAGGTCCGCTGACCTTTCAGGGTTCATGAAGCACTTTGGAGTACCCGCTAAAGAAATCTATTATGTGGCTTATAGCTTGAGATAATACAAGAATTGAGTGCTCATATTTGCAAAAACACATTTGTCGCCTTTTGCTGCTTTGTAATCAGTGCTGGAGAGGTTGGTTTTTTACAAACTCTTTCTATCATGCCGCCCCATTGTGATGTCACAGAGATGTGGGCCAGTGATAATTGCGATATATAAGTTTTGTATTTATCCTGGCGAGAAGGCTAGTTGAGCACTCTGTTATCAGCCCGGTTACCGAAATCAGATCTATGTTCAGATGTATCATGAATTTGCTTGGCAGGGGGAGCTGTAACCAACCAGATAATCCCACCATAATAGCCTTCATTAGTTTTTCCAATGCTTTTTTGTAAACCATATGCTTTAACTATATTTGAGCGGTCCCTGTATAATTTTGATTTATAAAATACGCAATTCAAATGGTCCACTGATTATTTTTCAATATATTTATTCAATATTTTTTCTTTGCAAATTCGACTTCATTAGCCATGATTGGAGTGTGACTATATGTGACTTTATTTTGCCTAAAGGGAGATCCATAATCGCTATTAAAATCACTTATCATTTTAAAATTTAATCATGGTTCAGCAATTTACATTGATTTTATATTTCTTGCTACATTTTGATATCACTTTCATATTTACTTCTGCTGGCAAAAAATAAATATTTAAATTTAGATCTCGTATTTCATTGTTGTCAATTAAATAATTCAGATATGCAATTTTTTTAGACAAATCCCCTTTTACAATTACTTATTATCGTATTTATTTCAATCATTTGAATGTTAATGTTATGAGTCACTTGTACATAATACATGGATAAATCTGTTATGCGACATTGGTTGATTTATCAACTCTGTCTATCTGTAGTAGATTGAGTAATTCTAAACATTAGTATTTTTCAATGTTACAAGATTATAATGTTAATTTCCTATATGTTTATTTTCATTTCATGTTTTTGTTTTCATAGTAATTCATATTTTGCTAATTCTTATGCAATTAATAATACTATAAGGCTATTGTTTATTCATAATACTAACTACTTATGCAAACAATTTGATGTATAATTTACCCTTTTGACCAGTATTTTACCTATTTTTTATTAACTTGTTATTCCTATCTACCAGGAAAATTGTCATCATTATCAGCTGTAATACTAGCGGGAATTTTGTTTTATTAATTTCAGCTGTTGAGATGTACAAAATTCCAGTTGGAGCAGATTTTAATTTTGCATCTTAGCATTTCATATATGGCCTGTTTCCATTTAAAACATTTTGTCTGCATCGGTGTAAATGCATTTTTGTATAATATTAATTTCATATTGACATCTGTTAGCAACAACTAATAATTTTTTTATTTTTCCTCAATTCTCCATATTTAATTGTTATGAATTACATAATTCAAATACGAAATTTTTTGCCAAATGCACCTCAAGGTTATAATTATTCTTGTAGTAATTCCCAAGCTACTTGAAGCCTGTTAATTTCTAGTGTGCAATTGAGTTACCTTTAAATGCATGTAATTTGTACTTTGTTTTCGAAAGTATATAAAAAATAAATTTAAATTTCGTCGCATATTCATGTGAAAGCATTTGAATTTTTTCAAAGCCATGATAAGTATAATTATGTTTTTGAAAAATCGTAGCTGCTTTAATGAAATTTATTCAAAATAAAAAGCTTGGACTAGGTTTAAAAACTAGAATATTCAAAAATATCCATAATATCTTGTTTGACTGATAATCGTAGATTTTGAAGTCAAATTTTATGATTCAGAAAAATACTTGTGATTTAGTGGAAGCTCATTCAATGCGTGTTGTGTATCATCATACTTACCCATAATAAATTATTTGACTTTCAGTTGTCTCTTCGATGTTGGATGTTTTAATTTTATATATATTGTTGACTTTTCCCTCCTAACAACTCAGTATGGAAAGAAACTGGAGCCACAGTTCATGCTTTCAGTCTACCCAATATCCACCCCCAATGTGGTGGTGGGTAAAGGCTTGTATTTAACTATATATCTCCATCTTTGTTTAATGAAATTCACATGCTCATATATTTATTTTTTTTAATATATTGTTAATGATTATCACCAAAATTTTAACTGATTATTGCCATATTGCCGTTAATATCTCCATGAAACACCCACAAACAAGCACCTTAATTAAATCCCATGATAATCGTTCTATCACTGGTTTTATATCAAGCTTTGTAGTTTCAAGGCCCAGTGAACCCATCATCACCGCTAGTACTCGCTCAACTGAATTCATTTATTCGAATACAATTGGAATTTATTTTAAAGTTAAAGCTTGAAGCAAACTCAAGAGGGCTTAACTAAGATACGAAAATATAGGTTGATTTTCATTCTTCTGTAAATGTGTTTAAACGAGATACACCGATACGTCTGAAATTTCAATATGTTGAAGTGACATACCGAAACTGCTTTTACGATTTAGTAATCAAGGACTGGGACGTATTAAAAAGTCGTTACATGTACTGTCTATACCAGTGATTTTCAACCGGTGTTCCGTGAGAGAGGCCTTCATGTGTTCCGCGTCAAATGATAGCTCAAAATGTTGCATGTAATAAACGTTTCCCTGGGAACGGACTTCGTAGTTTATTTCAGAAACAATGGCTAAACAGCAAAGATGACGGAAATGCAATGAATGAAATTTAATCAGACGCTATTTCCAGCATGACTCTTTTTCATAATATAGGTTTAAATCAAGCGGTCATTTTGGCCTCCTATAAAAAAGCTGGGTCACGTGCTGAAACCTTGGTTTAATCGGAGTATCGAAGCAAAAAAACGATTACGAAACTGCTTGGATATATTACTGAACTAGGTTCAGATTTTATTGGCATCTGCTCAGTTTTTTAGGATTAAAATATTGATTTTAACACAGTTTGCGAATGCGAGCTCGTAGAATACTCCTAAAAGGAGCACAAAAGGTAGTCAATGGTTGAAGTGCAATGAGAAATTTTCAGACGTGAAAGAGTCTTTTTATTTACGTCTAAATATCAGAAACACTAATAAAACTGATAAATAGCACATAAACCGAGTCAATAAGTCTGAGCGACCGCCCAAATATCAATTTTAACGATGCTGGGGAAACAATAACGGTCATCACCAAGGCGACTTCTGAAATACCAGAATCTCGTTTTAAGTTTAATGACATCATAAAGACAATTTATCAGCGTTATCCATAATGCATACCGCGAGTTATATCATACTGAAAGGAAACCGACAATCGTTGAAGAAGAAATACGTGTTTGCCTTCCCTGAATCCCGCAGTCAAACTGGAGGATTCTTGCTCGTATTGGTATTGCATTGCTATGAACGGCTACGAACAATATTTCCAATTGGTATTTCAGCGTACTTTTGTTCTCCGTAATCATCAATTTCAATTTGTTACGTTTTCATGTAACGCAAGTCATAAGCCATTGGTCTTGTTGTGATTTTATTCCTACGCTGAAACTGATCGAGGTCATTGGTTATTCTGATAGTTTCCACAAAATCGGAAATTTTCGTCTGGCGTTCCGCGGAAAATTCATGATCTAAAAAGTGTTCCGCGGTTCGAAAAA